GCCTGGAAGCCAGGGCAATACCCCACCTGGCCGCAGGGACCTGATGCCAGACGCTTCAGGGAGCAGCGCGGGGCTTGAGGCGGGCAATCCTGTGGCTGTAGTTTGCCCACCCCTGGCCTTGGGGTGGGGGTGGGGGGGGGAAGAGGAGGGGCGGGCGCAGGCCGCTTGGTGGGCCACAGGAAATAGCCCCGCAGGCCATGTGTTTGAGACCCCTGGTCTAAACACTATGTGCTCTGCAAAACAAAAGCTGGGATAATCATTCATATCACATTTACAACAAACGGAATTACAAACATCTTTCTTTCGGTATCCAAACAATGCTGCAGTTTGGTGTCAGCAGCTTGCAATACTTACTTCCCACTTGTCTTCAACATATTTATTTGGGTAGCTATTCAGAGCTACCAAGAATATATTTAGTTTCTTGTAATATCAGGCAAATTTAATTGCAGACACTTCTCCGATCTTTCTGCCCAGCTGACTGGATGTTTGTTCTCCATAGGTTTGGAAAACACAAGCATGCGAAATAAGGAGGACTATAGACAAACAGAAATATATCCACCTACCTACCTCTCTATTCTGTTATGTACAATGTGGTTTTGACAGTGGTTACTTCAAAACCTACCTCAGCAGTGAGATACTCAAGAATTGCAGCACTGTACACTGCAGCAGTAGCACCAACTCGCCCATGACTCGTAGTGCGAGTCTTCAAGTGTCTGTGGATACGACCCACTGGGAACTGAAGTAGAAACATTTGTTAGGCACTTGAGATCAAAGTCTATGCTGAAGCACTAAATTCTTGCCTAATGTTGATTAATGTCTATAATAATCTGGTGTAAGAAATGTAAATGGAGTAAAAACTTACTGAAGTAGAATACTGGATTAACCCCCACAGTGAATACAAATAAATGGCGAGCTTATTTTCAATGGGGCTGGCGAGTTTTACATCTCTAAATTTTCCTCAACAGGGACACCTCTGAAAAGTATGTTAGTTTAAAGTCAGGATTACACGGCCTTTACATACTAGTCAGTCAAGTGTCAAATCACATACAGGGTTTGTGTTGTAAAAAACCAAAACTTTTTCAGAAG